CTACCGTTAAGAACCACTCCCATCGAAAGCAAGAATTTGATAATCTTTACATTTTGAAAATATTATTATATATATATATATTATTATAACAGTTAGGTATAACTGCATGTTTCTGATGAAAATTATTCTTTGAGTTGATCTCAGTGATTCTGTTTGTCACCATTGTTATTATTATTATATTTCTCATCCGTCTAATGCCAGACTGTGTGCCTAACAAATCGTGGTACAATAATCTTTATACAAAGAGAAAAAAACGTTCCATGATTTGCAAGTGGGCGGAATACTGTCAGGTTGCCCAGGCCAAAAAAGGTGAATTTTCTTGAGGAATACACAACCGCAGCCTTTGACTAACCAAAGCCTGACCTGCAACTCAGTGGGGCGGTGTGTGAAAACCATAATCCATTGGGGGCAGGTGTCCAGTTCATCGGATCATACGCATTTTGGATGGGGTCCAATGTCCAACGTGCCCAATGCACCGTAATGCCCAATTGACCCTGTGACCACTGCCACAATCAGGAAGTTGTGAGTTTGGTTCGTACGCCTCTTCTTGGTTAGTCTGGAATCAGGGTTTTAGCCAACTCCTCTAGGTGAACCAGCAGTAGTCCACCAACCTGGTTATAGCCCCGCTCACTTTGGTAGGAAAACACCTCAGACACGAGAAGGCAGTGAGTCGGGCTTCCTCAACAGAGGCTATTCGAGACGCTTGGTCGTATGGGAGCATTTCCGAAGATTCAAGGGAAGGGGGACCAGAGGCAACCCTAGACACTTACTATCGACCATACTGAGGCTGTGTTTGGAGTCCATTCGTTATATTCTACCGAAACCGATTGTTGAAATGTGTCCTCTTAGTTCTTTGCCCGTAACATTCTCGCAGGCGATTGCTTTCTGGTAACTGACCAAGGTTTGTCATAGTCAAAGTTTTATTATGGGAATAACTTAGTGGTTCTTGCTTCTCTTGTCCCCATCGGATATTTACACAGTTGAATCGTTTCGCGTCGAAAAAGAAATTACACAGAGTTTCAGGTAGGAGATATAAAGAATGGTTTCAATGAATTTGCGTTTGCTTTTAGTAGTGTAGGAATGTGAGGTGTACCAAGGTTTCATCAAGTCTCTGCTTGAAAGATTCATTAGTAGGTGCACAAACGACGTGAGATGGATAGGTATTTCAAGTACTGCACAGTTTGACGCAAAGATTAACGCCGGCATTCCAGTCGTCACTTTGGAATCAGTAACTTGAAACGGTGTTCCCTAAGGTGTCCATTGTTCTATAATATGATAAGCGGTCGACACGGATAGTTTGGGTTCTGCAGTAGGTGATAGCCAAAAACAAATCTCTGCAAATTCCGTGATACTGAGCAGAATATAGTCCCAATGATCGTAATATCTCCTCATAGGTTAGTGGATTCACAACCCCACACGTGTTTCAGTACACAAATATTGTGATAAGCTTGGTCAGGTTGCCAGGGTTGAAATAAACCGGAAGGAGAGGAGCGGTGCTGACTGAGTTGTTATCACTCGATTAAACGGATTGTGTAGCAATGTCATTCAGTCTAACTTTGTTTTTCTGAACCACGGTCAAGCACGTCATATCGTCGAATCGTGATAACCTCAATATGTGAACAACCCGCTTTTGTTGGCACAGTTCGCAGTGCTAGATCCGTATAGCTACCGTCTCGGCCGTTCATCGTTTGTCTTAGTTGTTTAGATAGGCTCATGGGGGTCCTGTAGATGACCTTACATGACCTTGTGATATCTACCGTCTGCCCTTGTAGTATGCAGGACTGACCCACTCAAAACACTGGCCTACTGACTCCGGGCAATGAAGTCCTAATTCTTATACAAATAGCGTCGTCCAAAAAAGATCGCACAATCCCTGGCCACTCACCGATGCTCTCAATACACCGATATGACACACTCCTAAAAGTAGGTTCTCCGTGGAGTGACGTCCGAGAAACATGCAAGACAGGGAAAATACAAAAAGCAATCATGAACCACAAGGTCCAGTGAGACATTCACACGACTCACACTCAATTCCAAATGGCTGCCCTCGTATCTTCACTACACCTTGTCCGGAAGCTGAAACGGATTTTTCGGTCATTTGTGAATAATAATAAGTCCTTCGGTTAGAATGAGACTCGCCGGAAAGTAATAATCTCAGGTCAGGTCAGGTCATGTCATGACGATAAAGGCTTTGGCCAGCCAAGCGTCCAGATTCTTGCTCCCGCCGGAACCAGCGTTCTTCCGGAGCTTCGACTCCTTGTTGACCATTTGACCACAGACAATTTATTCGTCCAGAATAACCTCCCTTTTCGGGTCCGTATCTGCAAATGGAGGTTATTCGAAAATAGGCAGCATTGAACACCTACTTTCAATAGTAGGCACCCTAAAAATTCTCTGAATAGAGGCTAATCCAGACCCCATCTATTTGCCTTTTGAACTTACCGACTATCCTACAGTCCAGCAGTGAAAATGGTAGTTGGTTCTACTCGTCTATCACTCTACTCGTGAAAAAGTTGTACCTAAGTTTGAGCCGGCTCCTGGGCTTCATTAGCTTCAAATGATGCCCCCTTGTTGACTCGAGTGGTGCTCGGGTAAACAGGCTGTCTTCCTCTAGCCCAGTCAGCCTCCTTATTATTTTGGAGGTCTCCATGATGTTGCCTCTCACGCATCTTCTCTCCATGGAGAAAAGCCCTAGGGATTCTAACCTCTCCTCATATGATTGACCCCTAATTCCCGCGATCATCCTAGTGGCTAACCTTTGTACCCTCTCAATGCAATCGATATCTCTCCTCAAGTAAGGCACCCAAGCCTGCACGCAGTATTCTAACTGAGGTACGAAAACCTCAGCCTTCCTTGGCGACAGGGCCTGGAAAGCACTGTACAGTCGTTTCATGGCTATTAGAAATCGCAAACAACGCGTATTTATCGATCTGGTTTGTGCTAACCGGATCCTTAACGGGTATGCTTGCGCTTGCCAGGCATCTTAACAACCGGGTTACTCGGACTGAATCAAACGGATGGTTTTATGCGCCTATTGAACGTCACCGGTGTGAACCACAGTACTGAAGATTCATTCAGGTTCAAACTGTCACGATTTCATTGGGTTGATTAAAATTATTTTTAACAAAGATGTGAACATGGCTTTTCAGACCTTTCATGAGGAACCATTCTCTTTCAGTTTTCAAAGATATGTGGAAGTATTCGCGATATTTCAAATGAAACGTGTCGGCGAAAGATGGAAGTATGAATTGGCTCTATGAGGTTTCGAAGCCATGGCCGTAAAATCTGGGAGAAGATGTAGAGAGTTTTGCGGAAAATTTCGCCGAAACATTTTTCGGAATAAAGTGATGACTGATGCATAAATCTACTCATGTGACAAGAATTCAATCGTGTATACCAAACTGTCACAAAAAATATTCCACGGATAGTGTCACATATTGATAGTTAGTTTGTCCCAAAATTCAATAACAGACAATAATCATGGTTAGGATAGCTGCATTTGTTGAACAAACCGGCACTTTTAGCAAATCCTAGAAACATTCTTTCGTCTCCATAATGAGTTGCCAACTGAGCAAGGGCTGTTGATTTTTACCAAATATTCCTTACTTAAGTGGGAGGAGGTTGGTAGCCAACAATAGTATGTGAATATTTCCCCAAAAACAGAATCCGAACATTTCAAATCACGTTTGAAAGAATGTGGGCATTCAAATGTACGGGTATGTGCAACAAAAATACGTGCAATTTCAAATTACTACTCAGCAGATTAAGTGAGTACTCCAGAAACCGCCAAAACTGCTGGGGTTTGAATTTTAACTATCGTCTAAAAAGTGGTTTTCTGTAAAAAAAATGCATAAAAAACAGGCCGCATAAGAAACGTTTGTTTTGAAACTTGCAGCACTTTGAAGCTTTCTTGAAAACTGACTTCAGTTTGGGATTCTTTGAAGAACGATGTTCATTGCTTGGTTTTGAAACATATTGGATATTCTTGCATGCTCTCACAGCTCGTTAGCAAAGAAGGCACGTCGATTGCACTTTTAAGAAACTAATTTCTTCATCAATGATGACAAATAAGTAGAAAGGGAATAGTTTGAATTCCATTGTGTACTACATGTTGGACAAGAAGACCGCATCTTTTAATAGCCACACCCTTATCACGCCCAGCTGCATATTCTCTTTTTTATCGTCCACTTTAAGTGATCCATGGTCTGCTGCCTTTTATCTTATTCAGATGTGGACAATATTCGCATCGAACCGGTCGATATCAATGCACCGGACGCGAGCATTGTGGAATTTCATCCTGTGCGGTTTCACTGCAGCCCAGGACGACGAAATCCAAGAGACACAGAATTGAACTATATGTGAGTTATTTATCAACATTTTATAGGTGGTTGTGAAGGTGGTGATGGAAAAGGAGGAGAATTTCTCATAGCATAGCGCCATTTGGAATATCTTTAAGTCGTTGATAAATGGAATTGAACAGTGGAGCGGCAGAACAGTCAACTTTGTGGAATGAGGAGTATGGGTAAATGGACAGGTTGACAGGACCGCGTGTAGTACCATGATCTATTAGTTGGCCAATCGCAGATACTAATATTAAATGGGCGGATACAACATAAATCAATATTTTCTTCATTGCGTTGAAAGAGGCGTTGTATTGGGAAACCATAATTCCTTATCAGCCATTTATTTTAAAACCAAACATAATCATTTGTTGATAAGTCACGTCCAAAAAAGCAAGATAACCGTAACAGACCTGTCAAGCATGCTTGGTGAAACATTACCTTATTTTTGTCACCAGACTTCTACGGATACCCGAGTCAGAATTGAGACCATTAAAGAGCCTAAACCAAGCAGAATGAAAAACATACTCATGATCTAGAGTATTAAGGTTGGATTAGCCCAATCTATTGTTCACAGGCACCAGGCACTCTTGATGGTCTTGGGTGCGGGTTTCACTTATTTGGAGATTGTTAAATCCACACCAGATAAATGCAATCAAATGCGATGGAAATGTTTTGTGATGACCGACGAAGAGCACCGGAACAGCTACTTGTCCTGTTTGGGACTCATCGGCAGTGCGTACCTTTTGTGTCCCTGTTAGGACTCGAACCGTTAAGATTCGGGTCGGTATTTCAAACCCCTAACCTTCAACTACACGATCGACGGTCATATTTTGTGATGACCGAGAAAGAGACCTGGGCATCTATTTTGCCCTGTTTTGGGCTCGTCACCACTGCTCTGCTAGCAATCACTTGTCTTTATATTTCTGTTTGCTTCACTGGAGTTTTTTTACTGAGGACAGTACGATCAGTTCTGTTTTACGGGTGTGAGACCTTGAATTTGCGAATAGAAGGCATCCGTTGCCTAGTGGTTTTCGATAATCGATGCTTACGTAGTCTGACTCATGTGAGGTGAAGTGAGCGGGTTAGTAATCTAGAAGTAAGTCGTCAGGGGTTTGGGAAGGCGTAGAACAACAACTCGCTATCTCATGGAATCCAGCTCAATAAGCTTCGTCGGTTAGGATACATTTCGTGTGTCTGACGGTTGCCTATCGCAGTGGCTGCT